TGTAACATATTTATGGGGGCTTGTTGTAACATATTTATGGGTTATGGGATGCAGTTCAAAGTCATGTTTTTGATGAGGAGGATTTCTGTGTCTTCTGTTGTCATGAAGGACAGCTGTCAGTCATCCAGTGTTCAACTCTCAGGACTATAAACTCTCCCAGAGCGCTGGAGCATGGAGCTGCTGATGCAAAGTGGCTCTATGGAAATACTCTGACTGACTCCAACAGAGAATTTTGAATCTAAGAAATGAAATTATTTATAAATTTATACTTTTTTTTTTTTGGAATTAAAAACTAAAGTAAATTTAGCTTTTGTATCTTCAGCATAAAATTTCAAGTATTATCTTTACATTTTAAAACATCAGTTTGCATTTTCCAGTAAATCATTTTCCTAAATTGAATTTATAACTCTTCATAAACACACACAAATCTGTGCTAATATGATTTAAAAAAGATATGAACATACAACAATTCTCTTCTTGAGGATCCTTGGTTTATTTTATGCCTCTTCAGAGACCAAGTGTGCAAGAAGATCTCCCTAAAGAACATTTGAATGATTCGACTCCAGAATTTAGTTTTTCCTCTTTTGACGTAACCAAGGTTCAAAGGATCTAAAATGGTTAGATCCTTGTCAATTTGGTAGACCAGACAAATGTGAGCCTCTTTTTAGCTCAGCTGCTGATCTTGTAGTGAAGCCTCTATTTCATATTTAATCGAACTCTTTCTAAAAATAAGATTCTCTGCATACGGAAGTCTTCCTTTGTTCTCCACTTGTTGGAAGGAGGCAATTTATCTGTAGTAAACAGCCATAGCCCAATGTCTAAATTGTGTGTATTTCCAATAGATATTTATCGTGCAGCTCTTTTTATTGATTTATTTAAGCTTTTAAGACTTTAGATCAAATGATAATTTCAAATGAGAAGTAGATTCCATCTCTCCTCAGTTTATCAGTTGTTTAGGAAATTTATGTTAAAATTGTCAGATGGTACAAATATGTAGGTATGAGAGTCTGTTTTTTAAATAACATAATAAACAACTCCTCTAAGATAAAACTTAAATATTAGTTTCTCAAAAGTGTTTCTCAGCCTGAGTCAGAAGACACCTGATTATTTCAACCATTCTCCCTCTGATTGATTATGGAGATTTGTTATTATGAACTCTTCAGCTCAGCAGTTGAAAAAAAAAACTGGATGCAGTATATCACTGTGCTTTTTGTTTCATTACTAATTCTCGAATACATCGCTGCCCTTTGTATGTTTCAGTAAATTGTCCCCGTCTGACTGACAGCAGATTTGCTCCCTGGCTGGTTTTTATTTATAAATGCATTCCGGGAACTCTTCCTTCAAATTTATGCTCATTTCTGACTAAAACCTCCAGCCATTGTGGATTGTGTTATCAGGACATTATTTGATGCAGGTCCCAAAGGTCAGAAACAAACTGGGTTAAAAAACCTTTCACTCTCAAGCATCACGCCAAAACCATTATGAGTTAAAGAGTTAGAGTTTTTTTTTTACAC